TATATATATATATATATATATATATATATATATATATATATATATATATATATATACATATATGGGCAATTTTGCAAAAGTGACAGACGTTACAGTTTACATTTTTTAAGCTATTAAAAATGAACCAAAAATAAAGGACTTGAAACTTTCCAGAAGTATGAAATACTATTATATAATTTAGTACAGTCAAAATATTTACTTTTTACCACTTCTGAAAAAAACAACTTTTTCAGACTAAATCCAGCAAAAAGGATAGTAAAAAAAAATAATTTGCTGTGCGCACATATTGTTGTTATTATAGGCTTCATAGTTTTTACTTTATTTTACAGTGTCACACAAGAATGAACTTATAGCAGGGCCTATTATAGTATTTGTAGAAAGAGAAAAAGAAGCAACATTACAACTTTGTAATAATAGTTGGAGATTGGCTGCAAGAGCAGGTCCAACTATGTTTACAATGCATTTTTTGCACCTTGCCTAAAAAAGAAAGGGCATCATTGGAAGATTCGCCGCAGATATGGCAACAGTATTCCGTAAAAGGACGGATTTGAGATTTATAGAGATAAAGAATAGAATCTGGAATAAGAAAATGTCGAGCATGATAAAGAGATGCAACCTTAGCAGATGCTAATTTTTTGCAATGGATTTGGTATATGGTTTCCAAGGAAGATAGGAAGAAAACTTGACTCGTCATTCATCAAAGTCTTATTCTTTTACTGTATCTGTCCCTTCATGCTTTAAAAACTTTTATTTATCTAGTTTTTTCCCCCGCATTTCAACCCTTTGGAACTCTCTCCCATCTTCATGTTTTTATGACTCATTCAACCTTTAACTTTTTAAGTCTTCTGTCAATTTCTTGCTCTATAACTCTATTCTTTTTTTCTCGTAACTCAACTTAACTTAGTGGTTGCTTGCTTAATAATAATCATAATCAACTTAATAGTCAACTTAATAGTGGTTGCTTGCTTAATAATAATCATAATCAACTTAATAGTCAACTTAATAGTGGTTGCTTGCTTAATAATAATCATAATCAACTTAATAGTCAACTTAATAGTGGTTGCTTGCTGGCAAGTGAATCAAAATTAAAAAAATATATAACTTTTTATTAAATTAAGAAACAATTTAAAATAAAATTAAAAAAAAAACATTTTTTGGTAAAAATAGTAAAAATAAAAAAAGCAAAACAAGGTTTTTATTAAAATTATAAATAAAAAAAAAAGAAAAAAAGAAATGGGAAAACAAATTTTTTTTTCCTAATTAAATAATTAAAAATAAACAGCAAAACGAACCTTTTATTTAAATTGTAAACAAAACAATTAAAGTAAAAACAATTACTTTATTAATAATAAATTAATTAATTATATACATATATATGTAGGTGTATATAATTAATTAAATGCTTCCTGTTAACATTGTTTTTCTTGAATTTGCTAAGGCGTTTGACAAAGTTCCTCACACTTGACTGCTACAAAAGCTGAAATCTTATGGAATTGAAGGTAAAATTTTAAACTGGATTAAAGCGTTTTCTTCAAATCGTACTAAATGTGTCCAACTTGGAAATGTAACATCAGAATGGGAAAATGTTACTAGTGACATTCCTCTAGGCTCAGTTCTTGGTCCAACACTTTTTACTATCTTCATTAATGATTAACCAGAACAAATTAGTAGCAAAAATATATGCAAAATGTATGCAGACGATACAAAAATCTTTAGTATGGTCAGCACTAAAGAACAAAAACTTTGTCTGCAAGCTGACATTAAAAATATTTTCCACAACAATACAGGCCTTGTTAAGAATCGTTATGCAGCTCACATTTTACCTACGAAAAGGCGATTTGCCTATGCGTTCAGCAGTTATGCGTTACGCAAAAACTTTAATCCTTTAAAATATTTAAATTATCATTTGATATTGTTTATGTGACGTTTATTCAGAAGAAAATAAAGTCGTAAGTAAAAGCATTTAACCGCAATTGTAAACTAATAGATTTTTTGTTAAAGAAAAATTTGTTTAATTATTTTTATTGTTGTTGTTGTTAAAAATTAGCTTTTAAGTTTAAACTTTTTATCATATTTAATATTAAGTTTTATATTTCATAAGTTTAAAAACATTCAAATTTAAAACAAGAAATATTTTCAATTTATTTTATTAAATTTAAATATTTTTTTATTAATTATAGTTTTTAGTTAATAAATTTATTAAATTTAATTAAAATTCTTTCATTTAATTTTAAAACAAAGCATTTTAAAATTTTTTAATTTTAAAATGCTCCGTTTTTTTTATGATAAAATTTTCAAAGTAAAAAAAGATTTAATAAATTTAATTCAAGTTACTTTAAAATGTTTGTATTACATATAACTTTATTTTAATTTCAGTTAAGTTTCAGGTAAGTTCCAAATACTGGTCTGAATAATGCGCTTAACAAAAGCGCATTATTTTCCAGTTTTTATTTTTCTATTATTTTACAGTTTCATTCATTATTTACTTATTATTCATTTTATAACTACAAGTTAACAAATGACGTCAATACAAAAAAAATTCTTTTAAACTCGAGTTATAAATGTTATGTTTGGGTTTTCCCTTTGCCGTTTGCCGAAGAATTTTTTTATAAAACAAACCAAAATTCAAACCTATTAAAAATAAAGCGATCAGTAAATAAACTCCATAACAATCGATCAGTAATTATAACGCGATCAGTAAATAAACTTATAACAACCATGTAGCAAACGCATGGAATACTTTGCCAGACAATGTAGTTAATACTACCTCAGTGAAAAAGTTAAGTACTAATTTAGACTGGCATCTAAAACAGTTACCATAGCACATCATTTTCCACGGTTGCTTCAATGCTGCTATACGAACTAGCCTTGCAATGTAATGATGAACTTACGGTTCATGTATTGTTCTGTGTAACTTATTAACAATAATAATAATACATAAATTAGTGATGTACCAATTAATTGGCATCGGCTTAATCAGCCACTTTTTGTATAATTGGAATCTGTATCAGCATTGGTCTCTTTTACTGATTTTCCAACTGATGGCGTTTTAATATTTTTATAGTGCATTATAATAATAATTAAACAATAAATAAACTAAACTTAATGCATTACTTAAAATCTTTTGGATAAATTTTTATTGTAACTTTGTTTACAGGCAAAAGCTTTAAAAGTAACCTATTTAAGCACTATTATCTAAATTTTTTAAATTCTTTTTTACTCCTAACAAAGTTGCAAGCAACCACTATTAAGTTGAGAGTTGCTAGAAAAAAAGAGTAGAATTATAGATCAAGGAAATAGTTGACAGAAGAGTTAAAAAGTTTAAGGTTGTATTAGTGAGGAAAACATGAAGATGGTACAGAGTTCCAAAGGGTTGAAGTACTGGAAAATAAGCTAGACAAATAAAAGTTTTGGGAGCAGATACAGTAAAAGAATGAGACTTTGATGAATGATGAGTCAAGCGAGAATGAGTTTTGGTTGATGGAACTACAGATAAAAGCTCTTTTGAGCAGCAACCATGATAGTATTTGTAGAAAAGAGAAAGAGATAAACTTTACGACAATGGGAAAGAGGCTCAAGTTTAGCAGATAGAAAATGTTTAACTCTGTTTAATAATTAGTTAATTCATTGGTATTGGCATCGGTATCTGCCTTTTCCCATCCATTGGCATTGATATCGGCCAAAAAAGTGATATCAATCAGTACATCACTAATATATGTATATATATACATACATATATATATATATACATACATATATATACATACGTATATATATTCATACATATGTATATATATATACATATGTATATATATATATATATATATATATATATATATATATATATATATATATATATATATATATATATATATATATATATATATATATATATATATATATATACGTACAAAGAGAACTTATCAAAAAGCAAATAGTTATTTGGTTAGGATGTAAAATTAAATGACATTTAGACAAACTTCTTTTTCAAACTTTTTCAAGTTTGTTTTATACATAAATGTAAATGTAACCATCAATTTAAAATTTCAATTTATTTTCATTAAATTAAAATGCCAAAAACAACAATTAAAAATTAAAACCCCAGCAGTGCACTTTTCATAACTTCAACTCTTTTGGTATTAATATATCAAACATGAATATTAAAAAAAGTTTTGATTTTTCTTATGCTTGACAAAAATTATTAATTTCTTAATTAAAAGAGACATTAAGTTTCATACCATCAAAACAAAAATCATAGTGGTTTTAAAAAACTAAAAGTAAAAAATAAATTCAGCTGAAAACCTCTAAAATAGAGTAGTAAATAATAAACATAATGTTTTTTGACATATGTTAGTAAAAAAAAAAAAAACTTGTGGAGCCCTGGCACCAGGATTTCAAGATTTGAAAACTTTAGCACTGTTAATTCTGGTTCTGGAATAATTTACAGGTAGTACACTAATAAATAATGTAATTACAACAATATATTAATTTTAAAGTATTAAGAATTAATAAAAAATTTTGATAATTTTATTTATATGGCTCTTAAAACAGAGTATTTTTTAAAAAAGAAAAATTACCTAAATACGCTGGAATAAAATAGAACAAAAATATCTTTAACTTTAAAATGCTGAGAGATTAGATTGAAATTTGGAGAACTCTTTTTTTTAATAAAACCTATATGAGGTGTAAATTTCAAAAAAATTAAATTCAAAAACTCCACTTTTTTGATAAAGAATGATGCATGAATAAATAAATCATAAAACTTGAAACCATCATTATTATGAACATCTTTACCATGTTATTCATTAACATCTTAATATTATTTTTCAATTTAAATTTTAAATTCCATGCAACAGTAAACAGTTTTTTATTTACAATATTACTCTTTCAATAAGCATTTTCTACAATCTGCTTTTGACTTATTATTATTTTATAATAAAAGCTTTTATATTATTATCATTAAAAATTTAAATTTAATGACAAGCAGACATAAAACTTACTGCTATTTCTCTGCAAGCTGACATAGATATACCTGCTCCTTCTATTTCTTTAAGAGCGTATTCTTTTGTATCTTTTCTAAACAAAATTAAATTTAAATATTTTAGTTAACAATTGAATAAAAATATCAATTAATGACTTTATTAAAACCTTTATAAAAAATTCTCAGAACACTAAAACTTGCCAATTTTAGGCTTGCAAATTTTAATAAAAATTTGTTAGAGCACTAAAACTTACAAATCTTTGGCTAACAAATTTATATAAAAATTTCTTAGACCACTAAAACTTACAAATCTTTGGCTTTTGCTTTGTAGACATGACCATAAGTACCCCTGCCAACTTTTGACCCTTCAAAGTCAAATAAATCTTCAACTTTCTGTCTTTTCTCATTCATCATACTTTTGAAGTCATAATCCATTTTCTGTTACTTTTTTATTTAGAAGAAGAAAAAAAAAAAAAACTTTGATTTAATAATAACTTTAAAATTCTTAAGAACTAAATAAACAAAAAACAAAAATATAAAGAAGAAAATATGTAAATTTATCATACACAAACTTTCATTTTTTTTTTTTTTTTTTAATTTAAATAAAAATATGTTATATTAAATATTATAAATATTTATATCTATTATTTTTGAATTTAAATTTAAATTTGATTTTAATTTTTATTATAATTTAATATTATACGAATTTTCAATTTGGATAATCTAATTTTTTATGTGGAAAGGCAAACTTTATATAATTTTTATCTAACCTGAACATCAAACTGTATGAGACCTGGTTTAATGAACAATAAATCAAGTGCTGGCATTGTCAGAAAGCCAAAAGTTGGCATTGTCAGAAATGTTATGTAGCTAGGGTTAGAGACTAGAATTTCTTGTTTTGTTTCATGAGTAAACACAGAAAAGTTTTTCAAGACAAATCAAATACAAGGGTTCTTGTATTTGATTTGTCTTGTTTTGCAATTCACGGTTGTTGTTTTTTTGCTAGATTTTTTTGTTGGACATGGGATTAACTAACACTCATTGAATTTGTTGACAAAGTTTTGTTCCATGTCTTTGTATTTGATTATTATCAATCAACTTTGTTGAATTCTTCGTTAAAGTTTTTATATTTGCCAAGCTTGTAAATGAACTTGAAGATGTTATTTTTGTTTGCATGGCTGGGAGATTTAAATATGAAGATATCATTTTGTTTGTTATTGGAAGTTAAGCAGATATGAAATTTGGGACAGTTAAAACTTGTTGAAAACAAAAATCTTAAACGAGAAAAATAAATGATGAATTAAACTGATCAAAAGATTTTGCTGAAGGAGACTATAGAATTGAAAGTCCGAATAATCTCATGCATATATATATATATATATATATATATATATATATATATATATATATATATATATATATATATATATATATATATATATATTCCATTTTTAACTTACATTACAAGCACAACAACTTTGTTAAATATTTGCCTATTTAAACTGTAAATTAAACTTTTAGCTATTTTTTATGAAAGCTATTAGTCTAAAGAATAAAATAAATTTTGAGTCTGGCCAAAAAAGGGCTAACTTATTATTAAAAATACCACTTAACTTACATTACACGGAAAACAAGGTAAAAAAATTGCATCAACTTTTAGGCCAGATTTCTGCGAATTAGTAAAGCATTCTATACCAACTTAAAAAATATCTAAAAATTTAGGTGGTGACTGACTCTTTTTTGACACTATATATTTAACTATATGTTACATCGCTTACATTACTGAGCGATTATTATCGTGGATATTTTATATCTATTATTATGAGTTCAAGTTATGTAACAAAAGAATTGCAAAAGTATTAAACTCATTCATTAAAAATAGTTAAAAATAAAATTTTAAAAAAACTAGTAGCACTCTTAATGAGTGATTTTTCATAACATTTATGAAAGTTATCAAATCGAAAACAGTTTTTCCAGAAGACTAAGAGCAACTTTAAAAAATTATTTTAGTATTACAACTTTATTAATACTTATTTAAATCATATAAATAAAAAAATTTTTGGTTTGTCAAAGTTTTTACTTACACTTCTTACGTTTATGTGTATTGCCTTATTTTCATTAGATTGAATTTTTAAAATGCTGCAAAGTATTACATACATACAGTATATACATTTAAAGTTTATGATATATTTTATCTCATTTGTTGTGAGGTATTTATGTTTGTTTATCAATTTAACAAGATTGCTAAAAACTTTTTTATCGGATTCAGAACTTATTTTTTCATATGTATTAAGAGAAAAAAGATAAACATGTTTGTTAGCAGAGTCTTGATAAACATGTTTGTTAGCATCAAATATCAAATCCATTACAACTAAAGTCAACCTTTGTCAGCTTTTTTAATGACTATTAAATCGCTACACTTTTTTGTTTTGCAATGTAAAATTTCTAGTAAAATTTTTAATATCTGAATCAATATGTAAGAAACTACCATTTGTGGCCATGTAAAATTTTGAACCTTTGGTGAGAAGAGATATTTGAGAAGATATCAAGTGTTTGGCGGATGGTGATGACCTTAGGTTGTATTTTTTTGTATTTGCGCTTGTCCAGTTTATTGACAGTATTGATTTTGTTTGTTGGTCATGGTGGATGCCATCGCTGTTAGATACAATAAAACTTACATCAATATCATCATATTTCTTATGTAGTGTGATAAATGTTTTTTAGAATTTAAATACTTTTTATATTTTTCAAAAGCAATTTTAGAAGTACTCACTTTTTTGGACCATTCACCATCCGGTATTAGCTTTTAAACAACCTAACTTACTAAGAAGACTTACTTCTTCAAAAGTTGAAGCAAATAATAAGAAGATTGACATACTTAAATGCGAAAACAATCAGTGTAAAATATGCAGACTCTACCTTTAAGAAGTAGATGAGTTTGAAACTTCTAATGGTACTATCTGGAAAATAAAAAATCACATCGCATGCAACAGCAAAAATGTAATTTATTACCTTGAATGTTTGGCATGCAAAAAACAAGCACAAAAAAAATAAACATATACTGGCAAAAAATAAACATATACTGGCAAAACTAACAATTTAAGATTACGAATAAACGAACTTATTTCTAGTTGCAAAACTGACCAATCAACTAATAGATTTGACAACCATGTTTATACCTGTCAACGTTGCCACCAAAATGTAATTGAATCTTTTTTTCAACTTTTTGTTTTCCTTGAGCTTAACTATCATACAAAAAGCATCTGCACAAACAAAAACATGATATTTTTAAATAATACTTACTGTGTATTACAGTTGAATCCCATTAACTCGGACCCTAGATAAGTCGGACTTTTACTAAGTCGGACGGAAATTCAATTCCCCTTGAACGTTCTATATCAACTTACTGCAAAATCATTTGCTTAAGTCATACCCTGGTTAAGTCGGACCATTTGCTAACTCGTACTGTTTTTTGTGGTCCCTTCGGCAAAAAAACTTCTCTTAACTAGGACTTTTATTTCAAATTGCATATAAGTGCATACAACAACAAAACTTCCCATACTTCAATAAAAATTCCTAACTTTAAACGCTCAAAAATAAAATACTTTTGCGTGAAATAAAAAATTGCAATAAACATTTTTACGGAGATCTTTTGATTTAGTTAAGCTTCGATTAAATTCTATTTGTTAGTAACTATTACATTTAAAACTCAAAAATATCAATTATAATTCAAAACTTAGAACGTTCGAAAATTAATTACCTTTGGATCAAACATAATTTAACGAACTAAACATTTTCACTGATATCTTCGATTCATTTATACTTTGATCAAGTTTTATTTACTAAAAATGACAAAAGTTGTTCAAAGGAAGCTATCAAGTAGAACTATAACAGAAAAATACAAAATACTAATGGAACTCAACAAACGAGAATCATCAGTAACTATATCAAAGAAATATGGCATTCTAAAGCAAACATTATCTGAATTGTCAAAAAAAAAAAATACAATATATGCGGATCTTAAAACGACGCACCCCTAACTCGATTTTAATTTATTAGCCAATGAAAATTGACTTTAATTTTTGTAACGAAAGCTTTTGTTGCTTACCGAGTTTGGGGTGCGTTGTTTTAAGGTCCCCCCAAAAGTTGAAAAAATAAAAAAAACTTTTGCGAAAAGAATGCGGATGAGTGTCTCCCTAAAGAAGGATTTGGATAAAGCATGTAACATAAATTTGGATAAAGCATGAAAGTCGGATGAAACGGTGACAAAGCTAACGACTGAAGGTTCGTAAGCAATTGATAGTGGTGAAATTGGAAGAGTAGGTTTGAATGCTTCAAAGCTGTTTGAAAAAGAATGGTGCAAGTCACTCTAACAAACATCAATTTTTGACTTTTTTCGTTTATAGTATATATTATACATACAAAAATATATATTTCGCATAAGAATATACTGTACTATATATATGTACATAGTATTTATATCTCATAATATTATATATTTAAGTCTCGTAATCTCAATAAGTTGGACATTTTCAAAAAGTCCGACTTAACGAGAGCTTTGCTTAATTCGGACAATTGCTAAGTCAGACAATAAATATATACCCATTTGGAGTCCAAGTTAACGAGATTCTACTGTATTAGAATTTAATTCATCATAATGGTTACTTATAGCAACAATATGCAATTAAAATTATTTTTATTTTGTATACAAAAATCTTGCTACAATACCAAAACAGCACTACTGATAATTTTTTGATAGGCCTTAAGTGCCTAAAGTTTATTTAATTAATCAGGTAGCTTCCTGATGAACCTACTGGTGGTGAAACATGCTATTAAAGATAACTAAAAATTAGATAAGTGTTTTTACTAACTTTTAGTTATAAAATTATAGTTATGAATACGTAAGCGGAGGAGAAACTCATATTAGAGTATTTTAAAAAAGGGTAATGTTTTTATTTAAAAATATGAAATGCTATGCATTTCATATTTTAATCCAGTCAAAACATTTTACATTTCAATCAAATTGTTACATATTCCATATTTCATCCACTTGATTTCAAATTAAGCATTCTGATTGATTTAAAATACATTTATAATCTGTTTTAAAAGTCGTTTTTTCAAATGTTGCTTTTTCTAAACAACATTAATAACAAATTTGTATTTATCATAACAAAATTAATCACAAAACAGTGAGACAATAAGTAATAAAGAATTGTTTTCACTTTTATGATAAACTTAGTGCTAATCTAAAATTGTTTAAAATTGAATTTTGGCAGAAATTTGGGGGCTGGTAATAAAATCAGTCGGGATAAGTTGCTTGCTCTAATAGTTGAACATCTGTCAGATATTTACTTTTTAAATCATAATCTAATTGCTCAGGCTTCTGAAAAGCTATTTATAAAAATTCAACATTTAAAAATTAATGTAAGATTAAGGTAATTCCT